ACACACACACACACACACACACACACACACGTATTCCCTGTGCCCACATTTCCTCCCTGACTGTCCACACACAGGGATTTCCCGTTTGAAGTGACACCTCTAAAAGATGAACCGCGACGTTTATTTATTGCCGTGGCTTCCTCTGCAAAAATAGGAAGAAACAAGCTGGGCCCCCTTTCGATGAAAGGGATGATCGGTACATTAGCATCAACTGAAAGTCGTTGGCCTACTACCTCGACCTTTGAGAGAGCGAGGGTTTCCAACAGCAGAACGTCGTTTTCTTTAGACATGGTCAGGCGCTATCCAGATCTAAAACTGTCTCAAATTGAAAAAAAGAAGGACGTCATGATCTGGAGAATATTTTAAAGAATATTTGAGCGAAAACCGCATGTCGATCGATGGAGCCATTAAAAAGCATTTTGAATAGCAAAATTCGGTCACCACAAATTGATAATAGAAGGTAGAGGAACAGTCTAAGATAATTAGTTAACACTCAAGTCACATCGTCGAAGCGGTCATTTGGCTGTAGGAAAGTTTTAATAGCACTACGGTTAGGAGATGGAGGTGGTTGTGATACGCCGGTTCCCAATTTGATGTTCAATTCATGACGGAGCTTTCAATAAGTTTACAAGCGTAACTTATACATTGTCATGATATATCTTTGCCTGGGTGGTTGACATAGAGGACGTAGTTAGATCAAACAGCTGTATACATGGTACAGCTTTGCCAAAAGAGGGGCATGGCCAGTACGTTTGGAGTCTTGGAATATATAAGGAATGTCGTACTGCTTTACAGGTCTGGTGGACAAGTGGCCCCAAAAACTGGTAGCCCTCACGTCGAGGACAGGAAAAAAAGCTTTTCTTTTAATACTTCCAAGCTCTCGCCCTCATCTTTTCTGCGGTCACAACTTTCAGATTTTGACGGTGGCCGGAGACATCACGACTCACAAAACCAGAGAGGAAATCGTCACACGCACTTTCGGCAAATTTAAACGGATTGACATTCTGGTGAGAAGATACGTGCTGGCCATAGACTTGTACTCCTAGACTGTGTTCTGTCATAGCCGACACTCTTTACTACGGATTGTATCACGTACACAAGTGTAGATCTATAGGCTAGGGGGGGGGGTAGGACTGGTTTCCATAGTATATGGTCAAAGTAGGTGGGGGAGGGAATGAGAAGCTAGAAACA